AAATTATGGAGTATAATAGTAATAATCATTGGACTCTCTCTCTCTTTCTCTCTCTCTCTCTCTCTCTCTCTCTCTCTCTCTCTCTCTCTCTCTCTCTCTCTCTCTCTCTCTCTCTCTCTCTCTCTCTCTCTCCGTAGATCATGCAAATTCATGCAAAACGAAGGTTACAAAATATAGGTACTCCCAACAATCACCAACTCATTGCATGATTTATTTATTGATTGAATTATTAAAAAATGTCATAATCTTTCGACGCTTTGGAAGATTCATACCAAAATGTGGCCTGTAGACGTTCACAGAATTGTCTTTTGAGAGATAGAGATCGATTTCGTTATGGGATTCTTTAGCTTTTGTCTTTTGGTTTAATATATTTATATTTGTGTGTCATATTTATGGGATGAAATGCAATACTCAAGAGACTAATACTAAAGTTCAGCACAGATCAGATTGTTTAGCAAGTAAACAATATGACGCCAACAAAAATAAGGCAGAAAGTTTGACTCACACCGTAGTCGGTAGTTTGCCATTACCCTGCGTGTGATAGTGAGGGCACATTTATAAATCGAAAGAAAATTATGAATCAGATTTGCCTAGTTTAAACGTTTGCTATATCATTAATTATTATATGCTTATCTTTTCTCTCTTTTAACTTTACATTGTCAGAATTGTGCAATATTCACCGATATTGAACACCTTCATACTATAACCCACGTGCAAAGAAACTATATTCTAACGTAAACAATTTTTTATGAATGAACTAAACCATATATTTCATGGACGGCCATTTACCAGCAAATGTTTCATATACTGACACATACAAACTGTTTTAACACATTCCGCGTTTATTGTTTGATACACAGTTTCAAATTTAACAATGTATTGACGCTATACAGGTTCCTCACAATAAAATGCAAGTTATACACATTAACTGTTTTCTTTAGCTGTTAATAAAAATGGCAAAAAATATACTTACAATTTTACATCCTGATTTTCCTCAAAAATTATATTTTCGTAGGTCTGTAAATCTGAATTAGATGAGCCATGTTATGGGTTCTCATGATTGATTACACATTTTGAAATTGTGCTGTAATTTCGAGTACATTCCAAGTGCAAATACATCCTTCTTTCTGCACTCAAAATAAAATAAACATTAATTTCCATAGCATCTGTTCGATAATTGCAATGGAAAGGCTTCATAATTCTCACACATTGTGATCTGAATTATTCAATGACAGAAAAGAAACACGCATGCCGATGACGACATAATTCAAAACATTAAAATGGCAGACGCTGCTGAAAACCGATGCAAGTCACTTCATGTAGATAAATCCAGAAATTAATCAAAAGATTGCATTGAATCGATAAATATACCAAATGTATTCATTCCAGATCAAATGTTGCAATGCGTATTCATCAACAATATTACTCCAAATTTCAATTTTAAGTAGAGCAAGCGCCATTTTATTTCGAAACTTACGTCTAGCGCGCGACCAACTTCATATTTATCTAGTCGGAGTTATGCGCTCATTAATAATGTTGTGCAATGACCCATCAACGCTTTTGTATTTAGTTCGGAATACGGCGTACATTATTTAGTTACTTTGTTTCTTTCAATGTATTTTTGTTTATATATTTAAGCCTTGGGAAGTGTGACGTTTTACCCCAACCCCTTGTGTTGTATATGTACGTATAACTGGTTGTTCTGACTTAATGTATACCTATGTAAAATTGAACTCTGGCTGAACAGCTTTGATGTTGGAGAAGTTCCTACGTTAGCTAATCCCCTTACGTAACATGGTCTTTGTTCAGCTCGGGCGGGTATTTACTTAGCCACTTCAAAAGACAGAAGACCCGCCAAACAAATAGACTGTAACATTTGAGGGACCCACAGACAGACATTCGGATGATTGACAGTTTGAACGACTGACCGAGTCAAGAGCCATCCAATCGAAATGCGAGGTGGGTGGGCCTTTATTTGACCCTGGGATAATAACCAATGTTTCGTAGGAATTAGGCAGTTCGCTACAATAAACGATTTTGTTCAGATGTAGAACTCCGTTGCCAACCGTAAATTGGCCAGATTCAGGGAATCTTTGGAAAACTGCTTCAATCAGGTCAGTGATATTGTCTGAATTCTGCTTGATAAGCTGCTGATTAATTGAAGAGAATGTGTCGTATGTATATTTATATTGCTTGTATTGTAGTATGAATAGTTAATTATGATATTAATATTTTGCATCTTTCATGATTTTAGTTAGTACTTTGTGTGCGATTGATTATGATGTCAAATCGTTGCATCTTATTTCATGATGTTATGTGTTATGTTACACCTTATTTTGTGAGGTGATACGTTCTCTTCTTTCCTTAGTAATATGTGTGCATATTATTTCGTGATTATTACGTTTACGCTCTTTTGAAAGGACGATTTGTATTCGTGAAGAATTGTATTGTTTGCTAGCCGCTATAAGAATTAATCTTATAATTCTTATGTAGGTTACATTATGGTAGACTAGAAATTTGTTTATGTAATGATATATATATATATATATATATATATATATATATATATATATATATATATATATATATATATATATATATATATATATATATATATATATATATATATATATATATATATATATATATAGTTAACGGATTGTCGTTTATTAAACTTTGAATGTGAATATTGTGGATGTGGTACGCTTGTGTAGGAAATATATATATATATATATAGATAGTCGCATTACTAATCGTAGTAATATTATAATACATCGAGATTCGAAATATTTGTATGTATATACTGACAGGACTCAGTATGTAAATGTTTGAATTCTTTATGAGATTGTGTTATGGCGCCAATTTGGTGAGCGGCGTAAGTGTATGGGTATTTCGATATGTGCGCATGCGTGACCAAAAATGTACCGCCATTACTGATGGTTCGATCTGTTTGATTTAGTGTGAGGTAGTATTTTATGACCCTAGGCTAATACCTTGTGAATTTCAATTAGGAAGCTTCGAGGGACGTTCGAGGGAAGTTCGAGGGTCGTTAGAGTGACGGTCTTGCAACCTTAAGTGACGTTGAGAGACAGTCGAGAGGGAAAAGGGGAAAAGGGAAACGGAAGTAGACAGAGACAGTCGAGAGGAATACAGAAAGGGGAACAGAAGGAGAGAAAGACAAGAGGAAGAAAACAGAATAGATGAGTAACACACAAGGAGATGGGAAAATCTACTCACTGGAATCAAATGATGATTTAGGCAGTCACTTGGTCAAGAGTGACAGTGATTAATTTAAGATCTTTTAAATTTATCATTTCATTAAATTGATATTATTTGAATTTTATCTTCGTATTTCCTTATAATGTATCTGTCGGCATTGCTGACTGGGGGGGCTCGTTGCCATATATATATATATATATATATATATATATATATATATATATATATATATATATATATATATATATATATATATATATATATATATATATATATATATAATATATTGTCCAGAAGTAGCATTCTGAAAGTGGACCAGGGGAACTTCCTCATAATTCTTTAAAGTCTATAGGAAGAACCTCACCCCTAGACCGAACCCCACAGGAAGAATAAGAAATGAGCATATTATAAAACGGTTACTGTATTTGTATGGGAAAATATGAACTCGTTTTGTCCGAAGGATATACTGCACACCCAAGGTCGTGTTCGTGCAGTATATCCATCCGAAAAACTCGTTCATATTTTCCCATACAAATACAGTAACCTATAATTATGACAACTATATATGTACAGAACTGATACTTTAATACGAAATTTAAATAAATCATATATACAGATGGTTACCATTGACTAAGATATGTGATATTTATGACTAAGATATTTGCTACACCTAAATATCTCTTTAATGAAGTTTGGTATTATTGGTGGATATTGCCCCTGTAGAGATTTTTGCATAATGTTGTTATTAGTTCACCTCTTTTGCTTAAGTTTACTAAATGGCCAATAACGCATTGACTTAAATACAGACATACCTCATCTCGAATAGGTAGTGAAATCGTCATTTATCATAATTTCAAACCCACTTTAAGATTTACATAATCTTTCAGCGTCTCCCTAATGCTGCAATAATTTGTCTGCATTTTCCACACAGCGCTACCAAGTCCATCTAAATGGCGTAACCTATCAGTACCTAATCAATTAATTTAGAGTTACGCAATATTTCTATCGACGATGCAAAGAGAAATCACTAATTCGCCTCATGAATGTGATCAATACGATGACGTGTTTCCCTTTTGAACCAAACTTTTTTACAGGATCACCATCTTGCAGATTTTGTTGTTGTGCACATAGTGGGGAAATTCAAATAGATTTAACATTTTCCTGTTAAAACTGTTTCAGTCTTTATCGATTGTGCTAACCACGACTTTCGTATGAAGAATAAGGAACCCGTTGCAGATTTTATACTTTTCCAAGCAAATTATATTCTAAGCTCATTGAGTAGGTTTCCTTCAGGCTAAAGATAAACACAGTGAAATGTCAGAAATATTGTATCCTACTTCAATGATATTTTATTTGTGGTCTATCTCGTCCATCCGCCCTCCGGATCTAAATCATTATATATGTCGTTTGGTTGCTACTACCTGTATTACATTGTCAAATATAGTGTTGATTATTTAGCTAAGATTCAGTGTATCCGGCGTTAACTATAAAAAGTTTTCAACGCTTAAATATATTTATGACCTACCTTCAACAAAAGTCCTTTTTAATATGATCGCTAGTTAAAATTTCTGATTTATTGCAAATTGTATGACTTAAAAGACAAGCAGCTAGCGGATGATATGGTTAAATTTCTTTCATATTTAAGTTTATTGGTTATTAGTTTTAATAAATTGATTCCTGACCTTTTCATCAGAGGTTAAACTAACCGAAAAAACAATGATCATAGGAGCAACAATGACTGTATCTCCTACTTTTTTTCCAGAATGGTTATAAACCGCTTCGGTGGCCTAGTGGTTAGAGCCTCCGCCTTGGATGCGAAAGGTCGTGGGTTCAATAACGGTCGAATCATACCAAAGACTTACAAAAATGGTACTAACAGCTGCCTAGCTTGACGCTCAGCATTAGGAGGTTAGTGTTAGGACTAGTTTGCCTGGTGTCAGGATAATGTGAACGGGTGGGACATCATGCTACATGTCTGCGTCATGATTCCCCAGTGTTAGACATTACTATAAACTGTCACAAATCAGACATCGTAGCGAAATGACTGAAAAATTATTAAAGCTATGTTAAAAATCATAATCACATCAGAATGGTTATATCCGTAAAATGTCAAATATATTCAGCTGGAAAATATATGCAACGGAATATTTGTTTCACTTACGTACTAATTATGTTTTCCTGACTTGGTATTGTTTGAGTAAACGCCAGTGGTGTTGCATTGCAGTTGATTGACTAATACTCTGATTTTTATTAAACAATTATCTTATTTACACAGAAATACATACGCCTGATGAGAATCCGCTCATAACAATAGTTTAAATTGATGTAATAATACGATATCTAACACGATTGTGAACAAATCTAGTTTATAATACCATTACATTTTCTTTATTCTAATAGGGCAGTTTTTCGGGAGATTGTTCCCATATACCTGCGTTCCAAACATGTACGACACCTACTCTATCTTCCAGTTATCAATATGGCAACTGTAAAAGAGCTAAGTCGCTAACGTTTACTATGTAATAATACTGGTGATGCAGATGTCCTTGATCTAAGATCTAATCCATTTGCGAAAGCTGTTACGGAAAAGTTCAATCATTGAATGTTTCAGTTAAGATGATACAGATTTTAATTTTTTTAAGAAAAACAATAATTTAATTAATTAAATATTTAAACATTAATTAATATTTCATTCGTATTATTTTTATTTTTATTATTTTTACTCTTTTTTAGTATTATTTTTACTCTCTCTGAACATTATTATGGGTGAAACTCTTAATTGACTTGGAATATCTGTGCATAACGAAATATAAATAATTAGGAAAGTAAATAAAAACGTATATGGATCGGCGGAAATATATATTGTTTGGATGTTTATCCATCCATTGATTGAAAAGGTATCACAATTCATCGAATTCTAAATTGACCATCTGACATTAGAGCCAAAAATTCCGTAATGATAGTGTCCTTTGGAACGAAAGACATGATGCGCCAAATTAAACTAAGTCGATATGACAATCTCTCCAGCTAAATGGAATGCCAATTTTGATTGATGACTGAGAATCCTTGATTTGATCTTCTTCGTTAACAGATTCTAATCGATATATTCAGGAGTCTTTCTTTCTAGCAGAAAGAATGAAACAGAGTAACATCAAAAGTTTTAAAAATCAAATCGATGCACAATCTTGACAAATTGCAAACTAATACTCATTCCACAAAATTATTCAAAGTCCTTACAACTGAATTAAAAACCAGAAAAAAAAAATCATTTAATTTCACAAATTTTCGATAGCTAATCTCTGTAGTAGAAAAACGCCCTTTGAATGGTTTTAAATTGTATAAACATTTGAAATTAGCTACAACGTATCGCTTTTATTGCATAGATCGACATTTTTAATGTAATCAACTTCATAATTAATGTAAAAAAATTAATTACATCATAGAAAATTTTTTGTTTTACTGCAGCTAATAAGACTGCATAAGCCCATTCAAAATGTTTAGTTATGATGAATATTTACAAATACAGCCATACGGTAACAATACTATAATCAGAACTTATTGATTTAATGTTTAGATTGTATAATAAATTTTAATTTTGTGTGAATAATTGTAATAAGACTTCTTATCAATAAATGTTTTCATGCTGAATTCATTACAGAGGAAGACTTTCTTGAATCAGTTTAACAATGACGAGGCAAGTACTCACATGTTTACAACAGTCTCAACCTGTCAATCTTTTGATTTGTTCTCAGCAATTTCGATACACTCATAACATGAGATTAGGACTGTAGAATGAAGCACCCCTTTCCCTCTGCTATAATTACTTACATCGAACCAAGTTTTATTTCAATTGAGCTTCAGTTTATAATAATTCCAATTTGTATGAATTTAACGCGTTTTATGCAATTTGATTGGATGCCAACAGTCACGGGAAAAGGAATATTTTACACATCGATAAATTCTGCGGACTGCTTTTGGCTCCTTGTTTTCATGTCATTTGCTATAGAGTTTTATCTATATCAACCCAGTACACCATAATAATAAAAATAACAAATATCCACTCAACCACACTTGCTATTTCCAATCAAAAGATACCAACGACAGATAGAAATGGACCATTATAAGTTTAAACAATGTAATTGCACAGATCTTCCTCTCATCACCACTTCTTTTTGCCGACGAAGGCATATGGTAGGCTTTACTAGACAATCTTCGGAAACCATTGCATTTCACCTCGACAACATGTTACAGCAAGTTATTAAAGGTCAAGGTCAAATGTCAAACAATGGATCTCAATAAAAATTAACACGATTTTGCTTTTGAAAGATCAAAATGCGTAGAAAGTGAAAATAACGTTGCTATAACAATATATACCATATACAAGCGTGATTTTAGAGAAAAGGAATATCCTGGTTTAACCGTAACAAACATTTTTTAAAATATATTAATATCATGATCATAACAATATACCACTAGCATGACCCTCTATAGCATTCTACCCCATATTACTGTATAAAGCATCGACGAATCTTGGCTAGCTAAGATCGAGCTATATACCTGGTATTATATCGCAGTTAAAAAGCTAACAAAAAGTAAAATTGAATGTTTCATTGATTAAATATGCTGTTCTGATGTTAGAGAGGAAGTAAATTGGAATAATAAGGATTTATTGATCATGGTTTGGTATTTATCGATGTGTAATTTGTACATACCGGTAATCTCTCACAAAGTTAACATAAAGCCCATCAGACTTTACTTCCTTTGTGAATTATTAGACGATGGTCCCTCTCCTAAAGCGTTTCGGCGCTGAGCCACAACTGTGTGGGTTTGCTGACTGAGTTGATCGTCCTCAGAATGGAACCGATGATATATATTTTAACATAATTTTCAAACCAATATTACGTATAGACAGCAGTAATTTGCAACTGAGGCTTCCTCTCTCTTCAAGATGTGCTTTGGTTTTAATTTCTCTATTTCTAGATTAAGTATTTCTTATAGTTTTCATAATAGCCAACTGTATATATAAAATGCAATTCTGCAATAATTATATTTCAGACACTTACAATCTCTTCTAAGCTGCATTGCATTTTACCGATCAACTTAAAGGATCTGTATATTTATCATTGTAATTATAGGTGAAAAAGAAGAGTCAAAATGAAAAGCGATACCTACATATGCAATACAAGGTATTGTCATTACTCAGTGTAGTAATTAAAATGACAGAAATGTGATCAATATATTGCATTTAGCTTTTCAAGTAGTTTACAGTATGGTCTGTACTTGTTTCTATATGCACACATTAAGTAAGGCAACTGGTGAAAGAGATGAGTAGAAAATTTCTTTAAATCAGAAAAAAGTGCTTCCTAAAAGCAAAGATATAGGCATGTTCGTAAAAAATGCTCTCAAATATGTATCAGTTTTTTTAAATGGATTTCATATATTTGTGCAAAATAACGCGTATGTGTGTAGGGGGTACGTGTCGTTGTGTGTGTCGGTGTGTGTGTGTAAAGTAGTTTTAACAGTTTGAGTCATATCGCTATGATGCATGTAGTGTGGCAGTTTCAAGTGATGTCTATCACATGGGCATTATGTTAAAGACATGCTGTATCATGCCCCACCCAATCATATGATCCTGACACTATTCCTACCAGTCCTAATCCTAATTTCTTAATGCTGAGCGTCTTCCGAGGCAGCTGTTAATACTATCTTTTGTAAGATTTTTGCATGACTCGGCTAGGGTTCGAACCCGCGAACACATCGCCTAGCTAGGCAGCTGTTAGTAGCATATTTTTATACGTCTTTAGTATGATTCTGCCTGGGATGGAGCCTGCGATCTCCCACATCCGAGGCAGACGTTCTAACCACTTAAACCTCGTAAACGGTCCTCAAAAGATTGTCCTATATGATATGTGAATTACATGTACATAATATAATCTAAATAACCATAACAAAGAAAAGTTATTAAAGGCGAAGCTGAAGATATAAATAAATAAAACTATGTATACGATTTGTTCCATGGCTGCGAAAGATCAGATAATGTATGGTACATGAATATGTCGAGGTCGTCAGACCGGAAAGCATTCATGCACCATAAGAAACGTTTTTTCCCCGACTCTGAAAAACACGACTGTCTTTCATTTATTTTTTCAATAACATCTTGGTCGATATTTTGCAAATACTGTTTTCCTTTACTAAGTGAAGGATTTGTAAATAAGTTGAACTTTTTAAACACTGACTTACTGAAGGATTATAGTCGCTCACGCACAAGTGCTTCTGGGATTGATTACTCCCCTAGGCTGGGCCCTAATTTTTTAAATTGTAGTTCCTATTGTTGTTAATTGTTCTTATTGTTAGCACCCTCTATTAGATTATATATATATATATATATATATATATATATATATATATATATATATATATATATATATATATATATATATATATATATATATATATATATATATATAATAACATATCTTATTTTTATAACTTCCATTCTTGCAGATGCCATATATCAGAACATTTAGTTGTACATCTGGATTAAAATGGTACAGTAAAATGCTGCTAATTGACTTAATGAGAAGGAAGACGCTTTCTAAATGAAAACTAAATACATGATTTATATCTTTTGTCTGAAGTACCGAATGTTTAATCAGTGTTAAACTCTCCCAGTTTACTGAACCAGTGCTCTAGCGGAAATTCAAAACTGTCACTGATTCAGTATCTCCCTTCCTTCATCAATATATGTCTACTCCCTAGCGTACATTAAATGGGAAATAAAACGAGCATGAGAAAGAATTACAAATAGGGCAAACATTGGTAAGGCAGCACGATGCAGGATATAACCAATTTTCATTAA